AATGCAAGGTATATATTTGGTGTCCCAACTATAAGACAGGAGAGTAGAAGTGCATTTGATCAACAGTTTGCACTCATACATTTAGATACTTTTTTTTTTTGCCAAGATTTTAGCTTTAAATTCAGAAATATTTTGACTCCTCCAGTGTTAGCCTAGAAAACCAAACATTGCCAACATCAGTGGCTTAAGTGTTGGTATACAAGAAAAACATAACATTAAAGGATTTTTTAAATTATTCATATTAAATATTAATATCTGCATTTCATTTGTAGAATTATACACGTTGTTTTAGGTAGAGAGGGGAGAGCCAGCCTCCTTACCCTGTTGTTATTGCCTTTTTTTTTTCCTGTAGTGTTATCAATAGTAGTTTTTAGAAGGAAGCACGTGCCTTCAGTCTACAGAGTTGGGACAAGATGCTATAATCAAGACGGAAGAAAAGAAACATCATCAGAAATTACGTAAAATCTTACCCTTGCTTCTTTAGTTGGGTTATGCCATTTGTTGTTCAGAATGGGTTAACCTTAAGTTATGAGTTTAAGTTGACTTTTTGTGTCAACTTTTACCTATTTATTTATCTATCTATTTATTTATTCCACTTATTTTCTCTATCCTCCCACCCTGACTCCAACTCCTTTCTGAGACAGTGACTTCTATATCCCAGGCCATGGATACCATGCAGGCTTCACAGCTCTTTTTACTTCTTTCCACTGGGACAGGAGCTCTGATGTACTTTCCTCAGGCTGGCCTTGAGCTCACTCTGAATCCCAGATAGGGTTTCACTTTGTCTCTTCTTTCTCATTCTCCTGAGTAATGGCCACTGTAACAGGCCACCAGAAGTGTTAGGTCCCCAGTACTTAGAACAACTGACTCCATGTGGAAGTTTAGTTCAGGCCGTAAAATCAGCCTGTACACAGCACAGAACCCAAGGACACAGGAAGTCCTTAGGGGGGCATGGTGGCGCATGTTTTAATCCCAGCACTCTGGGAGACACGGGCAAGCAGATTGCTGTGAGTTCCAGTCCTCGAATTCAACACAATCTCAGTTCGTTCTCTTTACTGCATGGAGATCTAATCAACCTGAACACACCCCATTTACATACCCATCCACCGAGACAGGAGGATTACTGAGACCCAGCTGTACTTTCCACTCATCATGACAACAATTCCAGCAAAGCCAAAGTGGGTACTGTCAAGGAAAGGAAAGGAGAGGAGAGGGGAGGGGAGGGGAGGGGAGAGAAGGGGAAGAGAGGGAGGGAGGGATGGAGGAAAATCAAGGAAGAAAGCATTATTTTTTGTGCAGTGTCTCTGTGAGTGGGTCCTTACATTTACCATAGTCTTAGCTCATTTTCTTCATGGAGATTGAATCAAACCGAACACACCCCATTTCATATTACTATACTGAGGCAGGAGGATTACTGAGACATACAGGTCAGCATAGGCTATGTGAATTACAATGGCAAAATAAATCTCAAAATAAGCCTGCCAGTGGTGGTACACACCTTTCATCCCAGCACTCCAGAAACAGAGGCTTGAGAATCTCTGAGTTCAAACCCAGCACCGTCTACAGAATGAGATCTAGGATAACCAAGGCTACACAGAGAAACCCTGTCTCAAAAAAAAATTTTTTTTTCAAAATAGTGAAGTTAATAAGATAATGAATCCTAGAGCTTAGAGTTTGAAGAGACTTATTGCTGATTGGCCTGGGACCTTGGCCATAATCTCATGTGTGATGACATAAAAAACTGTTTGCAACCCAGTGGTAGCACATAACTGTAATTCCATCAACCAAGAGGAAAAGGCAGGCAAATCTTATTAAGTTTAGAGCAGCCTCATCTACACAGAGAGCTTTCGGTCAAGTAGGGCTACTACACATTGAAATCATGTCCCCCCAAAACAAAACAAAACAAAGAATTTGGAAAGATGGCTCAGTGGCCTACTCTTCCAGTGGTCCTGAGTTCAATTCCCAGCCACCACATGGTGGTTTACAACCATTTACGTGCAGATAGAGCACTAATCTACAAATCAATAAATAATAAGCAGAATCAAGACCAATGCCTTCAATCAGTTCTTCCAAAGAGACACAAATGAAAATTTTCTGCATCATCGTTGGCCTTGTGGCTCTGGCCGTGATGAAGCAGCACAGTGGTGTATGTTGTTTATTGGTTATGAGGGCTGATGAAGTGATGCTGAACCTGATGGGGCCAGAGAGTGGACTCTGGACTTCAGGACTCCTAAAGCCTTCTCTCACTCTGAAGCAGTAACACTCATTTTCTCACAATTCTGTCTCCCAGCTCCACCTCCCAACTAATGGCTGTCTTCCCTTGGGTGCTTCAGTCACACCAGATAACATATAGGATATTTTTCAGTGTCTACATTAACGGTGTTTCTTTTGTGAAATCTCAGAAAAACTGAGAGTAACATAAAAGGCAGGAGACAATTCATGGAATCATTTTCAAGCACTGAATTGATTTTTATTTATCTAGTTGCTATTTAGAAACTGAATATACTTAGTTTGAGATTAATTTTTGAGACAGGGTCTTGCTCTGTAGCTTAAGTTTGTAAGAAGGGGGGAAAAAACCCAGCTGAAGCCATTTTGAGTAAAGCTTTCATTTTGAATAGGTGTCAAATAAAGTTTAAATTCCCAAAACTACCCTGGGTACCTTACATCCTCCTTGGCAGAGAAAGATACGGATATGGACACTTGACATCCTGGTTGGCTGACTGAGACATGAATTCTAGACAAATCACCCTGCCATGGTTGAATAAACAAACCAATGAAAATAAGATAAATGTACTACATAGGAAAAGGTGACTAAGAAAGTCTCCTATGCCTGGACCCTGATTAGTGGGGCAATGTAACTGTAACTTGGCACTGATGTTGTGGGTTTATTTATTTATTTATTTATTTATTTATTTATTTATTTATTTATGCAGATATTGCTTCAGGTTTATTTGTAAAAACAGAATAGGACACTGGTTATTTGTAAATAGTGTGTAGGTGGGTGTGTCACACCCGTCAGTCTGTCTTTACAATAGCGGCAGTCTTTCCTGTGGGGCCTGAGCACCTTTGCGAGCCTGAGCTGGAGCTGAAGCCTTGGCCTTAGCTGGGGCTGCGGCCTCTGTCTTTGTTTGAACCTTGGGTTTTGGTTGGCAGAGCCTATGACCCTTGGCCATGTAGCTTTGAATCCATTTCCCAAGCTTGGGGTGAGCAATGAAAGCCAGACAGACAGCTGAGGCTGCGGCTGGGGCCCTTTGGCATCAGGCTTAACGGCTGCAGGCCGTTTGATGGCCTCTGCTCGCACACTCATTGCCTTTGCGTTGTTTGCCTGCATCTTCTTCAGGCTTTTCTTGTTGTGCTTCTTGGCAAAGCGTGTGTTCCTCAAGAACTTGGAGTCCATCCCCTTAGGAGATTCATATCTTTGTGACCGGGGTTTCTTGATGCCATTTCTGTGCCATTTGTGGGACTGGTTGTGTGTGGCATGGTTCTTGGATTTGGCCATGTTTGCACGATAACCCGCAACTCCAGCAGCATCTGGGACCAGAAGAGCGATGTTTGTGGGTTTTAAGCTTAAAAGTTCTGTAACTTTTCAGCTGGGGGAGGCATCACATTTCAGCTCTAGAGTCTCTTCTGCTTCCCGGATCAATCGTAGTGGCTTGATTACAATAAACTTTTGTTTTCTTCTTTGACGTGGTGCTTGACTTGTGTCAATATAAGTGGACACCATAACAAGTTGATTTAAAACTTCAGCTCCGAGCAATTCTCCCTCCTTCCCTTTCCATCTGTCAGGATAGCTGCTGTGAGGCAACATACCTGGATGAGTTGTATTCCCCGTGATTTAGGTGGTTCTGAGTCTAAGCCAGTTTAGCGTTACTCTGTTTCTGACAGTAGACATGCACACAAATCTCCCAAAAATATTCTCAGAGGACCTTGTGAGAAGCAGCTTGTCACAGTAGTCAATTCTGTTCTAGAATGAAGAGGTGAGTTAGACGCTCAGTCAGTTGCTGTATTAGCTACTCAGATGGCGGAGGCAGTGAGATGGCTTGCATCCATCAATGATAGACAAGAGTTCTGGAAACAGGTCTGTGTAGGAAGAGAGCATGCAGACTCCCAAATCCTGGGCACTCTCTCCAGCATTGCATGAGCTAGACATAGGGGACATTTGTGTCATCCTGGAACTCAAGATTTTGAGACATGTGGATCAGAAGGTCAAGTCCTTCCTTGGCTGTACTTCAAGTTTGAAGGCAACCGGAGCCATAAAAACCTGTTTCTCGAAGTTATAGTCTATACCACGGGAGAAGGGGGTACCTTGAGTCATTACTCTTGAAAGGTCTAAAAGAAGAACTGGGTAGAGACAAGGGGACAACACAGAAATTTTGGGGCAGGGTTAGCAGAATGCACTACACACAAGTATGTGTCAAAGAATTCACTCAGTAAATTAAAAGAACACAACATGCTCTCATTACAAACCGCTTTATTAAAAGCTAGGGAAAATTGTAGTGCTAAGGATGGTGGGAAACACAATATCCAGCTTGAGGGCCTCCCCAAACAAGAAAAAGACCCAGCTTAACAGAGATAGGGCTGGAAGTCCAACACCAGTTCATGGGTTCAGTCAGTCTTATAGATCACAAAACAGATATAGATCCATATATTATAGTTCTTTCTGTGAAGTGGACAGCCAAAAGGTGGATGTCATCCAGAGACAAGAATGACATGGAGTCCTCTTCATCCAATCCATTTTGCTCTTTGTTGTGTGTTCTCTCCATTTATCCACTTTTCTTGTTCTTTTGCTGTGCAAGGGTAGGTCTGTCCTGTTGACCTTAGGCAGAAATTAAGTTCCTGGTTCTTTGTGTCAACACTTGTATTTCAAAATCTGAAACAACGAAACAATCCTCTTTCCCAAGTATATCCAAAACTGCTTAAATAAAAATTGTCCTGTATTTCTGATCAGTCACTTGAGGCTTGGCTTCCATTTCTCAGGGGCCAGCAGTGACTTCTCAGCTTTATTGCCAACAGGAACACAGTATGGCCTCCCGACTGTAGACACAGCATTCACGACAGTCTATACATGTATTACTCACAAAGTAGACCTCTTTTGGCTGCCTTATAACTTTGATTGTGTTCATAAGCTCAGAACAATGTTGTTCAAATCTGTCAGGGAGTATATCACCAATTTCATCATAGACTTCATCAGGGGCAGGGTACAGCTCCCTGGTCAGCTGCTTCAGGTTGGCAGTGTGCTGTAGCAGCATCCGTAGGCTGCTCAGAGACAGGAAGTTCTTCAGAAAATTGACCTCTGTGAGCTGGGAGCACTGGCTCAGGGCAGGCAAGATTACACTGATTTGGAAGTCCACTATCATACAGCCCTTCAATTCTAATATTTGCAATGTTCCTGCCAGTCTTTCCAGCAGTATTCCTAGAACTGAATGACTTAAATTAAAAATCGTGACCCCACTCAGGTCCAGGTGTTTGAGTTGATGGACTTTTGGACACTGGGACAGATAAATCATGTCTGTCCGTGACAGCATGCACAAAGTGATTGAGAGGGTCTCTAAGGGACTCTCTAAACACCTAGAGAGACAAAACAAAACAAAACAAAACAAAAAAAAAAAACTAATTTCAGTAAAGTTTAACAGTGGTAGAGAAAGGCCTATGACTTCAAGGAAGCATTGGATCATTAGGATCAAGTTCATTCTGTGAGCATCATGAAGGTCAAGCCCAGGATGCATTTGGATCGAGAGTTAACAACTCAGGTCATGTTACTCTAGGGAGTACTGTGATAGTTTCTGACCCTAGTTCTACACTTCCCTCTGCACTGGCAAGCATTAAACTATATTGGTGGACAGAGATGTGAGCAGGAAAACCCAGAAGGACCAACCAGGAAACAGAACCACCCCTGTGCTTGACGAGCCCCACTTTCTTAGCATAGCCTCTGTCCTGTGAATAAGACAGAGCCAACATGGCACAACATGTAGTTTTGTAGATATGTTTCTCCTTCATTTGGGTCCCTTTCAGAAATCTTTCCTAAATTGTGGACACACAGGTGACAGTCAGAGTTTCCTGAGGTGACAACTCAGGATGCTAGGGAAGCAGAAAGGCCACTAGATCAAGAATTCTAACTGCACTCAACATGTGCACGCAACATTGGCTGGGAAGCCATGGGTGTGCACTGAGAAAGCTTTCACATCACACAGAAAGCTTTGCTCTTGCCTGTGGAATGAGCGGGCTATCCTTCCTTACCCGAGCAGTTGTTCCAGGCGTTTATTTAGGAAGCAGACATCGTTGAAATAGAGATGCTGGAGCTTGTGGAGTTTGGAGAACTGGGAAATGATCTTCATAATGCCAGCCTTTTTTATCTCTCGGTCCCCACGCCAGGCCAAAGGTACACAGATTTCTTTGAGAGTGAGTTTCTGAAGGTTTTCCATCTGCCCCAGACCAGGGGCTAACAATGCAAGGGTTTTCAGGTCCCAGCATGTATTTATTTCCAGTTCCTGGATTGAGACTGGCTCAATTACCTCTAGCAGCTCCAGAGGGTTATAATCAGGGATGGCCCAAAACTTCAGCTTCTGACAGATCACCTGTAGAGCACCTTTTCTCTGCTTGGCCCACCAACAGAAATAATTTAGGTAATTATCCAGATTACTGGACACGAGGGAAAGGTTCATCAGCACAGTCATGGTCTGTTTTTTGCCTGGTGTGGGATGATACACCACTGGTTCCATCTTGCTAATGTCATCTGGAGAGCAGACACCTTCCTCTATTCCAGCCCACACATCCCAGAAGTTATGGCGGGCATCTCGTAAATCAAGCTCTTGTAGCTTCCACCTGCTGAGGGTCAAACAGGAAGGACATTAAGAAGACAGGATACACAATGTGTAATCTTTGATCCTACAACTCAACTTTCTTTAAAATCCCTTCTTTGATCCCAGTTTCCATTCTAGTGGCTGGGGAAAGAGGCAAGGAATAATGCTTTACATGTTGACTGCATCGTTCTCAGCTGTGCTACCAACACCACTTCTTTGTTTCCCTTCTCCAAGATAGTGGCACCAGAAGCCTCTGATTCAGTTTGGACCACACTGTGAACTCTGTAGTCAGCTCCCCACAATCAAAACACTTCCTCCATGCTACCTTGGTCTCACTTACTTAGGTGGAACCTTTTGTGTCATCAGCAAATCCAGGCCATCCAGCAGAGCCTTCAAGATCTCTAAGTTGGAAGTCTTCATCAGGGCTCCAACAGGAAGGCATGGGAAAGGCCAGGCTGCCACCATCATCCTCAAGATGGTAGTTTGTTTGTTCATGAATATACTCTTAAACAGTGGTGGGAAGAGCTCCATGGGCAGGTCCTTCAGAGCAGAGATGGCCAAGGCTTCATCTTTCAGTAGGCTTCTTTTTGCAAGCTGCAGGAGCGTGGGCGGGGTCTGGAGACTCATCCTGACCTTCAGGTAGACAGATACTATGGAAACCTCCAGAAGAAGAAAAGTTTTCAGGCAAAACACTTTCAGCAACCCTCTTTCTCATATCATTACAAATGTTATGCAGGGACTGTCTGACATGAACTCAACAGCTGGCTCTTTGACCTCCCCCCAACCCCCGAGGGAGGAGCAGCCTTGCTAGGCCACAGAGGAGGACATTGCAGCCAGTCCTGAAGAGACCTGATAAGCTAGGATCAGATGGAAGGGGAGGAGGACCTCCCCCATCAGTAAACTTAGAGAGAGGCAGGGAGGGATTGGAAGGAAATGAGGGAGGGGGCTACAGCTGAGACAGAAAGTGAATAAACTGTAACTAATATAAAAAAATAAAAAATTAACTATAAAAAACAAACAGATGTTATGCAGGGCCTCAGCCATTACTCTGGCAATGCTGGAAACCTTGTATTTCCCATACACACTATGCATCTTTCTCAAAGCCACAGTTCCCTCAAGGGCCTCCAAGAGATTCATGAGCACCCATTTGAACTGATCTTCCCTGTTCTTCAGCCCAGTCACATCCACTGTGCTCCTGAATCCCGTTCTCCTGGAGAGTGGGTAAGAGGAGACACAATCCTGAACTCCATAGTTTTATGGGCAGCCCGCTTCAAACACCTCTCATGACTATCAATAGCAAGTTAAAGGTCCTACCTCCAAAGTACGCTTTGAGTACAGTCAATGGAACTGGTTGGGAGGATCAGTGACCTGGATAAAGTTACTTTTACTTCCAGAAGCTTTAGAGCCAGGAGCCATGCTGAGCTCTAGGCTGTCATTTAGGAGACTGAGTACTAAGAACTGTCAATTTGATTCTTTCCTGGGGTTCATAGTCATCTGTCCTCTTCTATAGAATTATCTTCATATTCACTCAATAAATCTACAATCACCTTGAATTAAAAAAAAATTAAAGGATGGTGATGGCACACCCTTTTAAACCCAGCAGCACTCTGAAGGCGGAAGCAGGTGGATCCCTGAGTTTGAGGCCAGCCTGGTCTACAAATTGAGTTTCAGGACAGCCAGTGCTATACAGAGAAATCCTGCCTTGGAAAACAAAAACAAAAATAAAAAAAAATCCAAAACAACAACAACAAAACAAACAAAAAACAAAAAAAAACCCAAACCAAACCAAAAAACAAATCAAAACCTAAAAAAAAATTCAAGTACAGTGCAGATTTTTTAAAGAAAAGGGAGTGCTTGCCCAATAGGCCTGAATCCATGAATGTTGCATCTTTGGCACTCTATAACTCTCATAGGGCAGTTCAACTTCTGGTCTCGGTACTCAGGAGACAGAGGCTGAAGGATCAGTGTTTCTTGACAGTTAGGTACATATGTAGTTCTAAGCTAGTCTGGTCTCAATGATATTTGCTGCTTCAAAATAGTCACGAACAAAATACAACAACAAAATATCCAAACTATAAAGATGAAGTGAGTGATTGTGTAAGATGGGGTACCCTGATGTGTGGTGGTGGGGTGACTTACTTGATCTGGACACTGCTGTCAGGCCTTCCAATCCCAGCCAGGAGAGGCCTCATTCCAGGCTCCAAGGCTTAGAGTGTCTAGGCTGGCCATTCTGACCCTTATATCCACCTTTCCTGCCCTCATGCCTTTCTGTTAGCCCCACCTCTCAGCCACAAGTTGCTACCTGATTTGATAATGAAGCTTCTGCTCTTTAATCCTATTTGGGCTTTTGTGTCTGTGGCTTGAGTAAATCAGATCTCCACGTGGGAAAGTATAAAATCAGAGATTGTGGTCAAGATCCCAGACCCATCCATTATTATAGTACTTCCTTAAACTCTAAGCTCTGGGATTCACTGTCTTATTTACATTATTATTTTTTTGATATTTTTCCCAGATAAGACTTCACACTGTAGCTAAGGCATATCTGGAACTCATTGTGTAGTTTCAATAATCCTCCTGCCTCAGGAGAGGATATGTACCTGAGTGTGTCCAGGTTGGTTAGATCTCCATGCAGGAAAGAGAATGCATGAGGTGGTGGTGTCAGTAAGAACACATTTCTATAGTCACTGTGCAAACACTGCAGCTATTCCTGTCCCCGTTCTCTTTCTGTCTAGTTTACAGAACTGTATAGTTCTGCCTTTGGTGGAATCATTGCCATCTGAGGCTGTGTTGCCAAGTCAAAGCCCTGAAATCAGGTGTGCATTCGAACTCTATTACTGGTTGCTGCCCCCAAGGAATCAGGCTGGAGTTGAAAAGCCAAGCACTAGCCTGCAGAAGCAGGGAAGGGAGGGGCTCTGAATACCTAGAAAGGAAGACTGTACTGGGAAAAGTCTCCTCCTCCAGTCTCTGTTGATTGGCAGAAGAACTAAAGGCCAAACTTTAACCAGTCCCTGCCCCAACACAAAGGATGAGCTGCAGTGGACAGGGCAGCGCACTGTGCCCCTAGATGACTTTACCTGTGTTTGAACTTCTGGCGGCCTGTCTGTGAGTTCTCAGAGACTATACTGGGAAAGGAATAGGAGTAGGATGCTGGGTTTATAGCCTGTGGTAGCCACTCCAAACAAACAAATAAAGAAACAAAACCACGGAGATATGGCTCAGAGGTTAATAGCACTGTCTGTTCTCTTCCAGAATCCTAACTTCAATTGCCAGCAACTACATGGTGGTTCACAACTATCTATACTGGGATCTGGTGCCCTCTTCTGGCATGCAGGTGTACATGCACATAGAGCACTCATACATAAAATAAATAGCTAGATCTTAAAAGAAAAAGAAACAAAACCGTGACTAATATAAATGAAATGAGCCCCAACCAAAGAACCATCAGAAGATGTCTGAGGAGCTAAGCCTGTGACCCCTGCAGTGAGGAGCTGAGGCAGAGCTTTATGACAGATACTTATCAATTTGGCCAGTGAGAAGACACAGGGGTAGGGGGATGGCCAATTCCTTCTAGCCTGAGGGACTTGGTCATTTCCCATGCTAAGTAGTCAACACCTGAACACGAGTGTCAAAAAATCAGAAGTCACAAGTTAACAATAACAAGGACCAAATAGTATTTCAGAAGAAGGCCAAGTTGCATTTTTTGATCAAAACAGGCCTCTGTTCCTCTCACTAGAAGAGAAAGACATGAGAACTCAATGTAACATCTGAAGTCTAAAGTCCCCAATAGAGGCTTCCAAGTCTGGGTGAGATGGGCTGTCCTGATGGGGGTGAATGACTTACCTGATCTGGACACTGCTGTCAGGTCTTCCAATCCTAGCAGGATGAAGCACTCACTCCAGGCTCCAAGGCTCAGAGTGTCTTGTCTGGCTGTTCTGACCCTTATATAGTCCCCTTTCTCTCACTCCTTCCCTCCACCTTTCAGCCATAAGCTGCCACCTGATTGGATGTTGAAATCTCCATTCATTTAGCTTGAGTGAATCATATCTCCATGTGAGATTGTATAAAACCAGAGATTATGGTCAGGTCCCAGACCCATCCATGATAAATTTCAAACTCAGAGCCCTGGGATTCACTGTCTTATTAACTTCATTATTTTGGGATTTTTGTTTTTCATTTGTTTGTTTTGTTTTGAGAGGGTTTTTATGTGTAGCCCTGTACCTCACTCTGTAGACCAAGTAGGCCTTGAACTCAGAGATCTGTCTGCCTCTGTCTCTGGAGTTCTGGGATTAAAGGCATGTTCCTCCACCACTGTGCTTACTTTTGAATTTTTTTCCCATGTGATTTCTTACACTATAGCTAAGGCCTATCTGGAACTCATTAGCGGTATGAAATAGGGTGTGTTCAGCTTGATTCAATATCCATGAAGAAAAGAAAATGAACCGAGACTGTGGTGAATGTAAAAACCGACTCACAGAGTGACTTCTTTCTTATCCTTTCTCTCTCTTCCTTTCTTCCCTCTTTCCTTCCCTCATTGGTTCCTGCCTTCTTTCTCTCCTTTCCATGACAGTACCTGCTTTGCCTTTCATGGAATCATTGCCAGGATAAGTAGAGAGCACATCTGGGTCTTCGTAATCTTCCTTCGTCAGTGGATCAGTATAGATAGGGTGTGTCCAGGTTGATGAGCTCTTTATGCAGGGAAGAGTGTGAATTGAGATCCTGTGAAAATCAGGACTTCTTGTATTCTTGGGTACTGTGCTGTGTACATGCTGAAACTATGGCATGAACTGTACCTTCGCCATGGAGACAGTTGTGCTAAGGTCTAGAGGCCTCCTATTTTTGGTGGTCTGTTATGGTGACCATTATTCAGAAGGCTGAGAAAGAAGGGACAAAGTCAAGTCCTGTCTGGGATTCAGAGTGAGCCTAAGGCCAGCCTGAAAAATTCATAAGAGAGCTTATATCCCACTAGAAAAAAAAAATGAGAACAAAGCTGTGAGGCCTGCATGGATTCACTGCCCTGGGATGTACATAGGGTGTGTTTATACTAATTTGATCTCCACACAGGAAAGACGATGAACTGAGACCCTGTTGAAGGCAAAGTCTTTAATCCAGAGTTCTGGTATTAAAGGCTTGATCCACCACTCCCTACTTCATTTGAGTGTATTTGAGACAGGGTCTGAAACAGGCAAAGCTGTCCTTGAACTCCATATTCCTCTGGCTCCATACAGACTCCTAGTATCATTCTAGAATTCAAGTGAAGGATCTGTTGAGGCATACCAATATTAACACACGTCCAGACTTGACTAAGCCTTATTGCCTAGCAGAACACAGCCATTTTATTTTAAGTCTCCATTTTGATCATAAGGTGAAATTAAGTTTAGGGTCTCAGGCTCTACTTGTCTGTCTTTCCTGGAGAAGCTGCTGTGACACACTGCCAGTCTGAGCCAGTTAAGACAAGGATTGTGCCCTGTGCCAAGGGAAAGCTATGCTGCTATGGTGCTATGCTGCTGTTTGCTAGACCGTGAGCAGTTGCTTCAGGTTTGTTTGAAGTTCAGGTAGATAGTGAAGGAGTTAATACCACGCCATCAGGCTCACTTCTCTAGCAGCTTCAGCCAGTCTATATTCTTGGAATATTTCAT